GCGATTTCGGGCATTTTGAAAGGGTTTCTTCGATATTCTCGGCGTATATTTAGATGCGCAACGTGTAAGGTACAAGTGTAAAGTGAAAACAAATCCGTTAATAATACAAAGCAAAGAACTAAGTTAACATGACATATACTACTCCCAAGACCGAAACCGTTTATTACTATTACTACTACTGCCAGGAGGCGGTAGCGCACCGGACTCTAACGATAAAGATGCAAGATGCTGCTCTATTGTAAGGAGAAAGTGAGAGGTACGATCTGGATCGATTTCCTCCAACTGATAGAAAGCGGACTGTATTCTTTCATTGATCTCTCTCATTCTCAATACTCTACCGGCTCGGTTTGGATCAATTGAAGACTCCTGCATCCGCTGTCTTATAGTCTCGCGTGACTCGTACTCTTCCATACCATTTTGACCAAACCTTTTCAAATATTTGCCCCATATTCCCGCTGTCAATCGGCTCTTCACTGCAGCGATTGATATGAAAAATATGCGGGCATAGAAGTAGGTAGCGACGCGAAAACTGACAATTGCACTCCAATAAGCCATCCTCAAAACTCGTTGAGCGAGTAGGTGTCATAAGATTTTGAGTAATTCTGGTATTAACTTTATTCTCTTCTGTCGCAACAAGCTTTTGAATCGCGAACGGAAACTCTGCAAGTGGTGGATACTTCTTTGTAAGGGTAACCTTTTTGGTACGAGAATCGATTTCCGCAATGCGTATATTATTCTCTATATCATGCGCAGAGTCATGAACGTTGTTGATACATCCGAAAAAGCCATGTATAGCTGTATGACCATCACGAATTCCGGCTCCACTCTTTAGTCTATTGTGCCACGCCTCACAGGGATTGGTAGTCGTGACCTGTATCAAAAGCTGGCTATGCTGTCTGACATATAACGCCCAATGTTTTCGGGTTTCCAGACAGTTTTCTCTGATATATGACCGTTGAGTTGCAGAAGTGGCTGCCTTCATCGCTTGCATGCACAAATCAATGCATTCGGCCTCGGTGAAGTATTTCATTGCATGCTTTAGATGTTCATAGCTGGGTTTATCCGAAGCTGATTTGAATCTTCATCCTATGGTGCGTTCCGAATGTACAGTACAAAGCAGGTGATTTTCGACGAAACCCTCTTCATCAAAAGCTTTCTTGACCGCTAGACGTTCGATTGCACTGTTGTCTGTTAAGGGGTACTGCATCTTCCAGGCACGACCCGACCAAGTGTAGATCTCGCATAATGCGACCGCTAGGATGTCCGAATTCTCTTTCTCAACTAAGCAGTGCGCGCCAGATACCCAAATTCCATGTGAATCTCGGCACATAAAGGTGAACAGATTGTACTCATGTGTATTCAATTTATGTGTCGAATCGAAAAGTGTTAAGCAACCGCATCGCGACAGGAAGAGTAACCACGCGAATACCAGCCCACGTGTAGCATTCATGTATGAGTTTGTATTTGGCGCGTATATTGTCTTGTGAAAATATCCCTTATCATGCAAAAAACACGTCGCCATAACCCAATCTTCGGAAAAAGTTGTTGTGGATGGTAGCTTTCGTATATCTGTTACCGAAATTTTGAATTCTCTGGTGACGTTTGCAATATCTTTCCGTTTGACATATGCGCCGCCCACAGCCTCTAGTTGTGCATAACCAGCTATTCTCCCTGACCTTTGATTCTATCCTTAATCTCTCCAGGCGCATATCCCTTCTCTAGCTCATATCAAAATATATTTTGTAGAAAAGAACTGTGTTTCCTACTCCAGGACATTTCAATACCATGGTCGTGATCTGTAGCTGTTTTTACCCGAATAACAGAGTACGTTTTCGGTTGTTGATTCTATACAGACTCACAAATCTTGATACGCATTTTGCAATTACCGGGTGGGTGGAAAGAGGTAACCCTGGTTTTACCAGTTAGGTTATCTTACGGGTTGGCCTTCGCTTTAGAAGACTCTCTTCACTTTAATATACGGCAGATATAGTAGCGAGAGATGAACTTCCCATGCCGGTGATTCTCTGTCTGGGTGTGAGACCAAAATCCATCCACTAATGGCCAGTATAATTGAAATTGAATGTTGGTTAAAATAATTTTTTCATTGACATGAAAAAGACTTTGGATCATTTGCTCATAGTTTAGAGGCAAGGGGATAAGTTTGTCTGTCATACTGTAAGGGCGTGCCGAAGAGGATCAATTCAGGGGTTTGGGAATGAAAGGTACTCTACCTTCTCGCAAATAGTTATAAAAATGAGTGATTTTCTATGATGCACGCACGGCCTTTATACCTCACCTCAAGCCCCATTTTTCTTTGGGTTCATTGTTGGGGTTGTTGGAGTGCGCGGGCCACTCGAGTGAGACCATGCCGCTTGAACGTATTCCGTCGCTGCCTGCTCCACCCCACATTCCCCCACACGGCCCGCGCCGTTAGGTTATGTACCTGTATCCCCACCACCACCACCACGCGCTACCATGGGTAAGTGCACACTACCCCAGCACCACGTCAAAAGTACCACCACCACCCCCCCCCCGAAACCGAGTCCCAATAAATACCGGAAGAATATTATACCACCACAGGTTCAGCTTCCATATCCACATCCACCCACCTATCTCCACACACCTCCACACATCTGCACCCACCGCAACACCCTGAAAGCTTCCAAGACGTCGCAGATCCTCATTATTCTTGGTGTATGTTGATTGAATGATATACAATGATTTACTCTAATACCGAGTGAAAGTTGATTGTCTGCTCTTAATGAGTAGAAAAACTACTCCTCAGTGCTATCCATTCCTCTATTTCCGCACTTATTGACTCCTTTAGCGGGATACATATTGGGGAGTAATCAGTATTTATTGTATGTCGACTATCTTTTTGTGACTAAGGGGTAAGCCCGCGAAATTTAGAAAACAGTCTGCTAGGCCTAAAGGATAATATAACTTAGGAATAATAGATTCGTCTGTCTCCAGTGTTGCGTACCCTAAAGCTGGTGGTTTTTTCTTACAAACTAGATATATATAGAACTCCGAGAAATTTACAATGCTTCAACTTATATTGGAAATGGATAGAATTAATGAGGTAATCATCAGCTTGGTAGTTTCGACAGCCAAATCAAGCTGAATAGATCCCCGGATGGGTAGTAGAAGTAAGATAAAAGTCTATATTAATTAATTGGGAAAAAATCACCATCAATCAGACTTCTGCCAGATACTGACTCCAGACGAAGAGATAAAAATAATCATAAAACCTGCGATTATAAATGGCTCACAAAAGAACCTGCTGCCCCACACTTGTAACGTGAAACAACCTAAAAACTCTCCTCGACCCAAATAGACTGTATCTGTCATGGCGCGGTTCCCGACCTGAGAGGTTATAAAAACAGGTGTTGGGGTGACGGTCATTAGCGTCCAGTGGAGGAACTAGCAAAAGGGGCCCTCCGTGACCGTTCTTCACCTGTATTCACACGCACTGTCTTTTTCCCCTTTCCTTCTTCTTTTCTTTCTTTCATCACGAACCATTACTCTACTTAATCAATTGATCAACTCTTTTCAACACGACACCATCTCAACAACAGGTACCAGGCATACCCAGGGGTACCCAAAAGTGATGCAACAGCTTAGAAATATAGAGTGAGGTCTTAGTGAATTCGCAACCACCTTAAATGTTATTTCTTTCATTTTGATGTGATTGATGGATTCTTCATACTCTCTTTACTTTATATATTATACAAGTAGTTTCCGGCCTTCGGCCGGTACTATATATATATCAATCAGTCCAATATACAGGCAAGCCGCTTTGCGGCTTATTTGTCTATTTGCCTGTCAGTCGGGGCTCTCAGGCCGCTGCACGGCCCTCGACCCCTCCTGGCAGGCAAAGTCCATCACTATATCTGATCTGGTCAATATGTGACTTTTCTGATATATTATCCCCATATATCAACGGATAAGTCAGAAAATTTCTCCAGTTAAAACTACACGTATATCCCTTTAACAGCTACCAAACCGCTAAACTCGAACCACTATCGATTCCCAGAACCAGTAGCAACCCTATTAACACTCTAACACCACTCAGCACAATACCCTATGTTAATATCCAACACAACATGTTTCAAGTGAAACAAAAACATCTCTCAATGAACCAATCAGAAGACAATAAAAGCACATTGCATATGCAGGTTATAATTATATACTTATTAGATATCGCTGCTTCGTTAAAGTTAAAGTTGGGTTGCATGTGGTTGAAATCGTGAGTAGTAAATTGAATCGTTGCATCACTTTCTGGCACCCCTGGGTACATTCGAAAAGCTGTTGTATTGCTACTAAGTTGTCTGTCCCCCCCCCCCTCCCCCAATTACCCTGACAGAACCAGTCCAACAAACCCCCAGTTATTTGATGGTCATGGCAAAACTCAGCCAAATATTCCCAAAAGTTTTAAATTCAAATTAGCCACGTAACTTTCCACATATTTTATAAATGGAGTTATAACTCAACATATATATTCTTCTATAGTGTCACTTTCTACCCTGAAAGTTTCATGGTGTTTGGATAAGAACCAAATGTTATGGAGGTAGTCGACCTTGGCCAATTTTGGTTTACGTCCAAGAAACGATATATCGAGAAACGACTCTCCCGATACACCTCTACCACGATGCATTTGTCCACGACTTTGCTGGTTCTTTTACAGGCTCATTAGAGAGCAATATATTCTATCTCCTATCTCAATCATCTGTGGATATGTTTGCTGCTACCACCGGTGGATAGAAGAATATATCTCGCCAAATACGGAGTGCGAGATAGATCCAGCACAGGCTTCGGTCAAGGTATACAAGGACTCTACATCTTTATGAAAAGTTATATAAAAAAAACAGATTAAAAGATACAAATATTTCCGACATGTACGGTTCTGAGCTTGAGTTGGATACTAAACATGTTATCGTGGTTCCAGAAACCTCAAATATCTAGATCTCCCATACGGTTTCCAGCGCCGACAAGTTCTTTTATATATCAATCATACGTTTAGCCTCCTCCAGACATTCCAAGGCTGAAGGTCTCATCGACGGGTCTGCTTGTAAAACAGCCTTTACAAATAACCCCGCTTCCTTACTCGCACCAAGACGTTCGAATTCCTCCAACGGAAGAGGCATAGCACCTGAACAAAACTTCAGAAAGAGTTGCATGTCCATCTCCTCTCCAGCCTCTACACCTGTTTCGAGCGCTGTCTCAGCCTCCGCAATTAAGGTCGATATCGCAGTGGAGGTCAAATGAACCAAGGTAAATGGTCTTTTAGAAGTAATCATCTCGTAAAAGATACATCCCATTGACCATATATCCAAGGCGTACGGAAAATGGTTCCTCCTGGTTTTTGACGTCCACAGGCCCAGGACTTCAGGCGCTGTATATTCCACCGTCCCAACCCTTGTTCTGACTTCTGTTTCCTTGATGTACTTCGACGTGCCAAAGTCCGCAATCTTAACTCGGAGTGGGCGAGGCGAAGCGATAAGTATGTTCTAGGTTCATCTATATTAGCCATCTTCAGTAAACCAGAGTAGAGTTTAATGGGTGTAGGCAAGAATGATCGAAGGCGTCAGCTTACCTGGGGTTTTAGGTCCCTGTGACAGATATTGCGCTCATGTAGAACTACAAGCCCATGAAGTACCTGTGTGATGATGTTAAGAATCGTCCCTTCAGGAAGGCGGCCCTGCGTTTTGAGGTATACACTAAGATCTCCGTTCTCGAGATATTCCATTGTGATGTAAAGGCAGGAATGCTTATCCTTGTACCAACCGAGAAATCTCACAAATAGATCGTCCCTCTATATTACAATCATTTATATAAGCATCCGTCTTGTTATCTTAAACTCGTCGGAGCTGGAGCATACATCGGCAACCTTGGCCAGGGCCTTCACCTCCCTCTCTTTGGGATCTGGTCTGTGAATACGTTTCACCGCACGTGTGTGCCCGTCAGAGCTGACCTGAATTAATAAAATCAATGCTTGAACAAGAACAAGAAGATAATACCAGAGAAAGAACCTGTAACTTAACGGTGCCAAAAGCACCACTCCCGATATCTGTCTTATCGAACCACCGCCTGTTGACTGAGGCCTCGCAAGCCCTGTGCAGATGAAGGTTTTCTCGCGGCCGATGTAAAACTGATGAAGTATTATCATCGAATATTGTTTCCAACATGAAAATGTCGTGCTGGGTCAACGGTGAAGCACCACCGGGGCGGCGGAGACAAGAGGCTTCGTGGTCAGCCGGTGGGGGCTGGACGACTGCGTCTACATCGCAAACAAATAAGGTATTATTCTCTTCTATTGCCTTTGATGATGATAGTGCTAAGACTTCGCTCTGCGTCATCATGTTCAGTTTTTGCGCATCATTTATAGCTAACTACGTTATATCAACCCCCATAACAGTACTTCACGGCGACAGCGAATGGCGGGCATCATTACTTGGTTTGGAGAGGTTCCTTTGGTACTAACAGTTTCAGCAGTAGATGGATTGTCTATCTCCATTTCATCGCCTCCCAGGCCTAGGAATTTACGGACTTCGAGATACTCCTCGAGAAGCGAAATGTCAAAGTCTGCGAATAAATGAGGCACCGGGAGATATCCGAGAAGTAGATACGGTATCTGAGAGCATCGCGGTACATAAGTCCATGATTTCCCGGAGAATAGCTTTATCATACCTCTTCCCACCTCTGCCGCTGAGATAAAAACCTTCCTAGCCCACCTGGGGAGTTAGATTCGTGGAGAGACTAAGCTATCGGCTAGATTTACGTACAGAGGGCAATCTGACAACTCCCCTCTGACTCGTCACAGAATGTTCGTAGACTCCTAGCCTCCAAGTTGGGCACACTTGGAAGACTTATTGTAACCTCTGTACTTGAGAATTTTTATTTCTTGATCAGAAGACGTTCGATGATTAAGCATTATAGAAATAATTGTAGCAGTTGTATTATATATATGAGGATGTGTTGAGAAGAGATACCGACCACCACCTCGTTTCTGTACTCGCAGGGCGCTTCTGATACGCGGCCAATGGAAGGCCTTATCTTCCTCGTCTTCGATCTGGTTTTATGGTTCGATTATATTAGCGCCCCATAAAGAGCACTGCGGGCTGTAAACAATATCCCATAGGAGGCACTTACTTCCGTACGACACAGTACGAGCATGAGTAATGGCCTATCGACCAAACGTAAACTCCCCCTATCCAGTCCCACTGCTTCTACTAACTTCTCACCCGCACCCTGAATAGGTCCAATAATCTTTGAGTTTACGTCCCTAAGCAGATCAAGTATCTCGCCCCCTGTTACATTCTTATATTCCTGTGGATGACCAACAAATTGGACTGAGGAAACTCCCTTTAGGCTGACGTTGTCGTAGACCTCTGACACGCTCTCGATAATGAACTTAATATATAGAGAGTCATAGTCAGGAAACATTGACCCCCCAATGCCGGGACCCGCTATGCAAAGGTTAGCGATACATCACACGGTGGGGCCGAGCAAAGGTGGGATATATTACCTTTTTCCTGATACCAACCAATCAGCAGCTTCAGGTCATATAACGCAAGAAGCGACAGCCGCAACGCCGTTTCCAACCCACATCCTTTGACGCACAGGGCGCAGATCATCCTAGAGGCGCGGCCAGCCGGTTCGTCAAGTGCATCGTCATTATAGAACTTGCGAAGGCTAGGTCTTTGCCGCTCAATATAGTCGATGAATCGAAGCTTGCATGCAGTTGGTGAACTTGGATGGTTCAGGTTGTCGGTGATCCAGGAAAAAATCGTGGAGGGCGTAGACATTGTTTGTATGTACTTATGGTGATATTGTGCTTACTTGGTATGTAGTATGTATTCAGAGTGAGCGGGAGGGTAAATTTCAAAGCTGGCAGCAACCTGTCCTACCGCCCCTATCGTGGCCGAGCTAGGCCAACCAATGATTCAGATGTCTCAGGGCTCATTTTGGAAAATGAATGGAATACTGCGGATTATAATTATATAGGTTTGTTTCTATGGATAAAATGGTTGGATTGCCCGTCTTCTACTAATATACATGTATATATGCAATATATAAAAATTATTGACCCCTTCAAATTTTACCCCTTCTCAAATTATATGCACGGCTTAACCCTAACCCTTGCTGGTACCACCTTTGCTAATTCCGGAGGATAGGGGGTCAGTACAAGTACCTGACCGCTTAAGGGATCATGTATAGAGAAATAAGTTTGTATGGGAGATGTATCATTTGATAGGAGAGCTAGAGGCAACAAGATCTGTTAACAAAGTCACCCCAAATTTTTCTTTTTAAGCCTGCCAGTATTTAACCAAGCTAGGGGCTAGACAGGGTTAAAGAGGGATCAAGTGATTCCCTTATCATGGTATATACATCCTATTATCTCCCCCCCCCCCCCCCCCCCCTCACCACATTCCCCTAAATAGTTTCTTGTACTAACACACCATTACCAGCTCGGAGCTGGTGAGATGTAGTGCAAAGCTTGAGCCACTTCGGATTTTAAGTAAACAGTTCTGACTTTGAATCAGGCAAAAGCCCAAATTCGGTCGGCACATGGGCCACGATACTAGTGCTAGTGTCTATATTCAATCTTCATGCTTCCCATATGCGAGTTGCCATTCAGCCCAGGACGCAGATCTAAGCCAAGTCATGTGTTATCACTTGGTGTATTTAGCGGTAAGCTTGGTTTGTACTAGATTCCTAGGCCCGGGGTAGCACGGGGTATGGGATGACTCGCCCCTCAGAGAGACTCTGTAGGCCGCGAGACACCTGGTCCAATATACGTAGTCGACTAGTATCCCTTAAATTGTCGTACTAACCTTTTGGCCGGTGAAAGACAATAACGCCGTAGCATATCGAGATGCGCGAAACATTGATTCAAATAGGATTAAATGCAGACAGATGGAAACCTCCAGAAACTAGCTGGCGATATTACAAACTGTCCTGGCTACCATAAAACAAGGCCATCATTGCCTGCCAAGCAATCACGTGGAAGGATCTCTTAATGGATTGGAATTAGCTATAGGTAGCTCTAGAGATGCTATGATTCCCCTATATTTGACAAAGATTGTGATTCTATAGAGCGCGTGCTACGACGAAGACACAATTACAGCAATGAAAAGCTAGGGCAAACCTTTTTTCGCGGGCGGTTTGTGCGAGTGATAATCTGTGATTGAGATTTCAGCGGTCGCCGATTACATAGTACCCACACAACTTGTCACTTCATTTTCAATCACCGACCCTACCCACATCAATCTTCCTTGACTCCTTTATACACCCCAAAATTCTCCATCTGCATACCCACTCAACTCCGTCCACATTCCAGAAACCCCGCCCACATCTGACCAACACTGAACTAACTGTTCCGGGCTATTGGCGGAGATGACAGATTCGTGAATGGACTTGACCAATTCGCGAATGAACTTGAGGTTTTCGTGAATGGACTTTTAGGCTCATACATCTGTGACAGGACCAGGCTATTCACGAACAGCCCGGGGGGGCTGTTGTTTTAATATCAACACTAATAACTAATAATGATATTTATATCAACCGGTACCCCGATGACTGCTACAATCATCAGAGACCTTTAAAAAAAAGACTAACGACCCTAAATATCGGATCTGGAATAATAATTAGCACCTTCAAGATCTTTAGCGAGCTTCAGTGACATCCTGTGGCCCCTATCAGGCTCAGGCACCTTTACAACCTCTTATTTGGGCACTAGGACCTCTAGTAGAGCCCTATAACCTCTATTAAAGCCATATGACCTCTGATAGAGCCCAGGCAATTCGGGTGTTGGTTCCAAGAGTCAATTTCACTACTTTTTGCCTAGTCCATTCGCCAACGGACCGGTCCGGTTCTAGATATATAGAGAGAGTAGTATTCCTTGTTTCAATGCATACTTATTATTCTCAAAACTGGAAGCAGTGGCAACAGCCACCGATCAAATTAAGCGCAAAGTGAATGACGATAGAATTTTGGAGCCGTTCCAAAAAGGCAAAGGCTCTATTTTCGGTGCTGTTGGGTTTTCCCTATGGTAGATCTAGATCGATCTGCCCCCCCCCCCCCCCCCCGCTTATTCCAATCCTGTCCCCTGGAACGGCACCCAGGCTCTCGAATATATATCCCCTTATCCAACCCCTCCTATCTCACGACTCTATATCAATACTGGTTATCACCACCTCAATTAAACAAAAAATAAATAAATAAATAAATAAAAGAACCCAAGTACATACCCCATTTCAATATGCAATTCACGCTCCCCCTCCTACTCGCCCTCGCCGACACCGCCTTCGCCCACAATTTCGTCGCCCACTTCCACATCAACGGTATCCCCGACCCCGTCTCCGCCGACCCCATTCTCGACATCAACAGCAGCGATATGGCATGCAACGCCGTACAAGGCCTCGCCAAAAAAAAATGCGTCGTCCAAGGCGGCGACGTCATCGGCTTCGAATGGAGGACCGACCGCAACACCGCCCCCCCCCCCCCCCCGCCGACTACCCGCTCAAAGACGACCCCATCCCCGCCGGCGTCACCGACGACTCCCACAAGGGGCCCTGCTCCGTCTACATGAAGAAGGTCAGCGACTCGTCGACTGCCGAAGGCGAAGATGACGGCTGGTTCAAGGTCTCTGAGGACGGCCTCGACTCCGCCGGTACCTTCTGCAGCGACCGCATCCGCCTCGCAAACGCGCCGCAGCCAGGCATCATCCCGACCAACATCGAGTCCGCTGACTATCTCATCCGCGCAAAGATGACCACCCTCAACAACGCCGGCCCCACAATCATGCGCGGGTTTTATACGGGATGTGTCCAGATCACGGTCGAGGGCAGCTCGGGCACAAACCCGGACACCGTCAGTATCCCTGGCTACATCTCGATGAGCTCACCCGGCATGATATACGATATCTGGAACTCTCCATCGGGCACCTTCAGCGACTACACTGTCCCTGGCCCCCGCGCCGCTGGAGGACCTCGTTCCCTTCCAGGCTGGTGTTGCGCCTGCTACCGTTGGTGGCTCAAGCGGCCCTACCCCCTCCACTAAGGCGTAGAGCCCGCTTTCACCGCCGCCGCATACATCTCGCAGGTCGCCACTGCCTCCGTCCTAGTTTTCATATAAAAGGTCATGTACAGATATTTGGGAGAATATTCATGGGCGAGCCAGGATTTCTTTTTTTTTTTTCTCTCCCACATTCCTTTAGAAATCGTTTTTGTTAATTCTAAAACTACGCCTCACAACTGGACTGATAAAAATGTTGATTATTTCTTGCATCTATTTGTTATTCTCACTCTACTTCCTTGCTGGCCTTCTTATACCGCCTACAGTCTTCACTCTTAGATTACATGGCTGAATAGATCCCTTTCGCAGTCATGTTGATCGTTGTGAGGACTAACAAATTACAATTCCACAACTGATAGCATTGTCTTCCATATGAAACAAAGTGACTTGAAATAAAGTGGTAAACGGAGTAAATAGAGATGTCTTAGAAGGCATATGCCTGAATAGATCGTTGTTCAGAGCAGGTTCCACACATTAAACCGCACATTAAACCACACCGAAAATACCCACTCTGACTCTTTGTTAGGAAGGGAAATGAATTCCCACCAATGCAGAGAAACCACCTGAACACCGCATGCACAACAACCATGTATTTTGTGAAAGATTTGATGATTTGCCAGTGCGATTGTTAGTGAGGGTTCGACAAAGCAGCCAACCTCCAGATTTCGAAGATGAATAAGCTTATATAAGTTCATGATCATGAATGATAATGAAAATTGTTTCTATATAATTTCGTGAGCGCATCTACGAGCGCATAAAAGCTCATGATTCCCCCCTTCCTCAATGTTGGGAATGTTAAGAAATATCGCAAAACCCCGGATTTGGGCGATAACAGGCGGGTGTCCCGTTACTAAAGGACCGCGGTTTTAATGACGCTCGCAGATGCACCTATTCTAGTGCGCCGGGGCTGAGCAATTGTATATATCTGTGTGTTGAATTCCGTTGTAGAAGCTATCATATCAGTACTATATATAGCTACCAAATTAGTAGTCTTCTCACTATCGATCCTGTTCACCAGCAGCTGATATGAGGAGCTCTGTTCGTATTCCATGGTGCGGGTAGCTAGAGGGAAGCAATCGATATCCCTCAAGCGGGGCAATTTGATGTGCTTGGTGGTATAGCCAGTAATTTACCTGCATTGTGAAACATGCACCGCAAGCGGCTTGGGCCAATGATCATGATCCCTGGCTTGGCGACGTTGGCTTGAATCTCGACTAGGAATCTTAAGGGTATTCGACTCGGAGCTGACAACGGACACAATTTGATGGTAGGCTTAATTGCAAACTTATAGAGTAAATGCACGCAATATTCCCTTGACATATAAACAAGAAATAAAGATCCCCGTGCACGATATTCAGGCACCTACAGCTAAGGAATGACAAAGTCCACACATTTCAATACCCAATGGAGTTTCTACTCATCTTACCGCGCGCAGCCTCAATAACACGATCCTATTATATTACTAACCCTGCTTATCCGGATTAGATCATACAAGACTCCGGACAGGGGGGGGCGAGAAGCACCGAGTGATACCAGGTGATGCGACTAAGGTAAATTTTTAAATTCACAACGACAGATTTCTCTATAACTACCACCACTCTCAGGGTTGCCTATGGTGAAATACATGTAGTATGCACGAAAGTAGACAATACCACTTCCTACCACCTATGGCGTAGGGTTAGGGTTGTGAATCGGTGTACTACTTTGATCGAGCTGTGAACAGGTTGACTAGGTATGTGTGGGGTTTAATTGCATGATTCGTAAAGGAATAAGTCTTCCGATGCTCTCGTTCCCTATCCATGGCCGTAGCTGTCATTGCGGGTCCTATCAACACATCGGAACCAGCCGAATCACACTGTAGCACTCGGATTCATCATCCAACTCCAAGAATCGCATATAAAAGCCGCCATTGCAAGCAGATTGTGAAGTTTTTACTTGTATCCTCCCGGACGTTTTTAAGCTGGATCGCATCCAATATCATAGGCTTGGTGCGTCCACAAATGCATATCTTGTTCGCTAAAGGCACAAGCTTGATTTGAACGTTGCTGCATCAAAGTGCTTGTAGAGTATGCAGCGTTAGGTGGGGCTGGTTGATTCCCTTATCGGCCGATAAAGCCACATGTACTTGAACCAATCACTCAAAGTGAATATAGGCGAGCTCGAGCACTAACTTGCGGGGTGGGCGGATGCCTTCACCTTTCACATCTCCCGGAACCCATATTCACGACGTACAACCTCAGATTCACCTTGGCTCATTATACTTAATATACCTCTCCTGCTTTCAAAGCCCCGACGTCAGTCGCAAGCGGTAAGTTCCATAGATAGCCCGGTTCAAGTCGAGGAAAATTCTTCGAATCAAATGTGCCAACAATTGACAAAGGCATCCAAAGATGTTTGAAGCTATAACCACCGCAAGGAAGAATATAGCAAGCTTTGGCCGCAAGCTTATTGAAATCGGTCAGTTCCTTGCCAGGTTCAGCGACTCTCCTACTCGCGAAAACGACACCGTGCACGCAGTCAGCCTCAATGTACTCCATAAACATGTGTACGAGGCAGGTCAGGATGATCGGGTCCATAGATTGGAAGCAAGGTGTGCCGAGATGCAAGAGATGATAAACACCATGAGGGCGCGAGAGGAGTCTCTGAGGGCTGAGAGGAGCAATAGCGAGAGAGAGCAGACTGCCGAAGATAGAAGCAGGCTCGAGAATAGCAGGCTCAACTTGCAGGAAGAACGTAAAAAAGTGTATGAGGACGGGATTTTTCCGCAAGTATGGCCGACCCTGGAGCAAAAGTTGAAGGCAGAGCAGATGCTTCGGTTTAGGTCGGATCTATATGCCTTTGCTGTCGCAGGGATATCCGGCGCTGGCAAGTCATCGTTAATAAACGTTTTCTTGGGGGAGAAGAGGGCAGCTACCGGTGCTGTGGAGACAACGACAAAGATCAACCGCTATCCAGAACTAGGGGAGGAGCCACATCGCAAAAGCAATGTCTGGTATGATATTCCCGGCGCTGGGACGCTCAATATCCCTGGTTGGCAATATTTCAATCAGCAGTGCCTGTTTATCTTTGACCTCATCATTCTCGTTATTGGTGATCGCTTTACCGAGACGGATATTCAGATACTAAAGCACTGCAACCGCTTCAAAATCCCCTCCATCCTCGTACGCTCCAAGGCCGATCAGCATATTTCGAATATGATGGCAGATCATCAAGACAGCCACGACAGAGTACCTAAGCCTCAGAGAGTACTGTATCAACAATGCCGAATTAAATTCATAGCCCAGACACATGCGAGCGTAGATAATCAGCTGAGACTTAGCGGACTACCACCGCAGCGTGTTTTCATCGTTTCAACTAGGAGCCAAGCCTTTAAAAAAGTCTATGCAGAGCTTGGAAATATTATGACTGTAGGGATGAATGATTCAGGCCTTCGGGAGGAAATGGAGACGTTTATCGACGAGGTGGATCTAATTTCCGAGATCCTGATCACAGCACGCAAGAGGCGCTGCGAACAGATAGAAACAGATTGTGTAAGTTTGCCCATCCCTGACTACATAGCCCATAATCTCATAATAGCACATATATGCCGCTCGCAAACCCGACTCGAGCTCGTCACGTGCTAACCATGTGTGAAGCTCAATGCTCCCTCCGCCACTGGCCCCGAACCTACGTCGGCAGAGTACGGTACCCGTCTCTCCACTCTCGAAATAAACTTGATCGAGAATATAAAAAATGGGTCAATCGACGACATGCTTCGATGCTACCTCAATGAAGACGGCGAGAGAGTATACAAGAGATGTCCCTGCGGGTATCCCCAGCAGAGCGTTGGTCACATTCTGAAACAGTGCACGCTTCTTTCTCATGTCAGGGTCGATGAAGACTCGTCTATACCCTGGGTGGGAGGCTCTCCCACTCTTGACGGTCTCCTTTGCACCGATGCTGGAATGATTCAAACAAAACGGATCTGGGCGGCGTTTGTTGAATACAGGGATACCTGGAACTCCCTCATCTCCTAGATAGGTCCTGGTCTTTTGGTTCTTTCTTTGGTAGTCTTCAACCACTATTACATGACAAATAGCTCCCTTTGCCATTTCTGTCTTTAATTTCTCCCTCATAGCTTTCCCGTGCCTTTAGCAGAACGTGTTTGCCTGGAAAGTCGTCATTCACTCGCTCTCCTCCACTCGTTTTCGGTATTTCTTTTGTATTAATTGCATGACACATTCGGATCTGTATGCATACCCGGGGGAGGTTGCTGTGGTCATTTGTGCTTGAGATAATCAGGAGAGGGCTGGCTGGCAAATCTTTCTTCCTTTATACTATGTAGCTTATGTAGCTCGTTACAACAACAACGTGTTAACTGTCTCCTAGTTGTGACCACCTATGTTTTTTTTTAACCAGCCTAACCCAAGGACCGGCTGCCTAACGCGTGTGCCGAGTGTTCCCTTACCTACCTATATATACTCCCATAACGTACCCCCCAGTCCTACGCCGTTGGGCTCGCGGAGACGACTTAGTCCCCGATAAACACCCCAGTCTCTGATCATATTCATATGCCCTGAACTAACAAAGTTCCTGCTCGCATTGATTTCTAACAAGCGTCTCCTAGCTCTGGTTGTTGAAAGATATATGTTGGTGGTGGTATTAATATGGGTTAGGGTTATTAATCCACATCAATCGAGTACCAAAATTCAGAGAGCGATATAAGCATCTACTCCCATAACCTTCATTTACTCCCGAGCATCGATTATATTCACTTGACTGGAACGAGATGGCAAAAGCTATCTCCGCTCATGGCAAAGCGGTCAGCCTATATCGATGGCCCAAGCCTTCGAACTAGGAAGCCAATTGTTATGTCTACAAATGCGTGATTTCTGGGGATAGGTTCCCGGATACAGACTGAGCTAGATCTTAGCATCAGGGTTAGCAGTGGCGCGCATATAGGTGGATCGACTGCACACAATTAATGAATTATCAATCAATATGGGTAGATTGTGAAGATATAAATTTTCCCGAAAGATACTGCCACACGCCTGGAATTAACGCGTGCGGAGCACCAACACCATTTATGTTAATCAATATATATATCCATGTAGTGTGGTCGGCGACCCGGCTCGCGACAAGCAAGAGGAAAGACCCAGATTCGCTCATGTTAACGGCTGCTCAACGTGACTCTACCTGTAAATACTCGGGTGCAGCTCATGCCACTCGAGCTTAGATATATCAGTCATGAAAGCCATGCATTCTAGATCTCTTTGTTGGAACCTACATATTCTCGCAGGGTTAGGGTTTACCCAGTGCCATCTTGCAAACACGATACAGCAAAAGTTGGAGCGTTGCATCCGGATGTTGAATGCTAAAGATCCTGGGAAGTTTCTCTCACCAAAAACAGAAAGATTTGCCACAGTTCGAGCCAAAAGCGGTGCTTTTTACATGCCAGGATCTTCCCCAACACCCAGGCTTTACGCTCCAAATCTTGTGGTAAATTACTAAGGAATGTATTTATTGTCGGCATATTTACTATGTTTAAGCAGGCGAGGCGGGTACAAAGCATTCCAGAGAAAACAGGCACCACCGAGACCCAGAGAGACGTTTCCAGAAACTTGGACAACTACTCAGGGTATGAGAGCCCCGGAATGGTCAGAGGGGGAGGAGAGACATAACGGTTTGAAAATAGTTACTTTCTTTTCTTTTGTTGCGATGGCGGTGGACGGAGGGGTGATCGGGGGAGAACATTCCTAGGCTGGGGAGGAGACGCGCGGGTGTCATAGCCTCTGGACGCCTGCATACACATGAATAGAATATAGATCATCCTCAATGGATCAATCAACCAGCTCGGGCTTTTCACGTCGAGCAGCTGGCTAGCTAGCTAGCGGAAGAAGCCAACCCGTCTGGTCGTCGACCACGCTTATAAAGTATCCATGAAGCTTTTAAGCTCGGAATCAACCGATCAAACCACTCAACGCCTATAGTTCCCCTTGGATACCTGCGGGCCGGTGTTGAGTCTGCCTGACCCCCCGATCCTCCTCGGCCTCCCCGTCCGCACGCACCGACAGTCGCTTGATCATGGATCATCACTCGCCGCATATATTCCTTGGCCGCTGACTAACCCCTTTGACCCTCCGGACCAGTGCACTTGGCGAAGACTCCAGCAAAGTCTGTAAGTACATGTATTGTTCGTTAAAGCAGTTCTATATTGGCGGAGAGACTGACCAACTCTGCGGCGATTCCGCCGTGCGGTTATATGTCCTGCCGTAAACTCCAACCACATAGCTCGACACTGTATAATCCGGCGAGCTTATAAAACGGAGTAACGACTAATCAATACTTTATTTGTGCCTGCAGACTTAACCGGGGGGGACTATATCCTCAGTCGGGATAGTGTATAATATACTCAACATCCCTCCCGCCAAGGCCATGCCCCTGGATCATGAATACCGTGGCGTGAGTTGTCGCTGTCAAATTTGAGCCCAAGACTCAGCGTGTAGGTACAGGAATTAACCGAGGAGATCAGCAATTGCAACCAATCCACGCAATCGAATAACCACGCACCAACCGCCGCGCTGGGTCATGGCCAGTCTTAGACAAGGATACCAGTCTCGATATATTAGTTATTTGACCTCCTGCAGATCAAGCCTTTCCCCCCCAAAGCCGCCAGCGCTTCTCGCACAAGCCCGACATCCAATAATATAACCCATCATTCTCTAGAAGTACATACCTCACCGGACCTAGCTGCCACCCCCACATGTGCTATACCTACACTACGAGTCATGATCACTAATCGGATCCGAGGTGCGTGAGGGAATTGAATTCATCCAGGTCGGGTATACTTTCTCAGTGTGCTCTGGCTCGGTTGGGGTAGAGGCACAATTTAGGTGCGGCTCTGCTAAGGTAATCGAGAGTGTTTGTTGGTGTGCAATGGGGGTCGGTGTGCAATGGTGGTTTCTGATTGTAGGAGCTGGATCATGGAGATGGCCACGCAAAATACAAAGAATAGATACATGTACATTTTCATTAACTCTCTCTCTCGCCCACCCATATAATACATATACATGCGCAATACAGTCGAATACATGTCCCCAACACAAAAAGAAATTAAACCCTCAAAACTCCAACCAAAACAACATCCCATTCATGCGTGCACTGCCATTAACACCCCCTCTCACAGCCCGCCTCAGTTCCCCGCCTTCCCCGCCTTCCCCGCCCCCATCCCTCTCCCCGCAGCCTCCATCTCGCTCCTCATGCTCGCCGCCCCCTCCATCTCATGCAGCGTCCGCGCCTCAACCTCAATCGGCTTACCCTCCGCATCCATCTCCCCCAAATTCATCGCCCCCTCACGGTGCCCATGGTCCCTCCGTCTCCGGAACCACCACACCGCCCCCACAACCGCCAACACAAACAGCCCCCCGCCCACAACGCCCACCCCCGCCGCTCCCCCCACCGATATCCCCCCGCCCCCACCACCGCTCTCAGCCGTAGCAGTACTACTCGTCGTCGGCGCAGCACTCTCCGTCACTGTCGTTCTCGCGGGCGCAGTACTGGTGCTGCTGCCGCTCATAACGGTCGATGTGGAGCTAGAGCTAGCGCTCCCGCTGACGCTCGAGCTCGCGCTAGGACCCCACGCGGGCCCATCGAGGACGGGGTTGGTGTAGTTCTTTGGCACACAGCTGCCCTCGAGCCCGCCCTCGCCGGGACAGCTCTCCAGCTCCTCATTGCAGCACCAGGTTGCGGTGCCACTGCTGCAGTTTGTGCCTGGGCAGGCGGATTGGCCGCCTCTGCAGGTTCTGTATGTCCACTCAGTCAGTATTGCATTGATAATGTGTGCAATTAGGGGTAATTAGGGGTGGGGAGGGGGAGAAGGGGGGGACGAACTCGGCGTACGGCGTGCAGCACCACCACAGTGTCTGGTTCACGTTCGCGCCAGTGGGCAGCGCGCCGACGCAGAGGCCGCCGACGACGCCGTTGCAGCCGGGGAGGTAGCAGTCGGCGGCGTTGCCGGGGGTCATGTTTTGGAGGGTGAAGTTTGCCATTGTGTTTTGGAGTGTTTTTTTTTTCTTTCCCGTCGCTAGAGAAAAAGAGAAGCTATGGGGGAGGGGGGAGGTCGTGGGGTATTATACCCGGGCTGAATTGCAAGAAGAAGAAGAAGAAGAAGAAGAAGAAGAAGAAGAAGAAGAAGGGGTTGTGGCTCGTATGTATACTCCATGCATATTAATCGGTCTATATATACTTGCATGCTCTATATTAAACACAGCTGCCGCATCCGGACACGGGTGGATTCTACAGCCTGATTCGTTAATTCTGTCCCCTGCCCGATCGACTACAATTCGTCCAGAAAGCAATATCCCTACACACACAGCCTTTATATACCCACTTCTCGAACATCCATCCGGCGCCTTCACCGGTCCCCAGAAGTGCAGCAGTTTAGCGAAACAACTGGAGCACATATTCTAGGTAAGCACCCTTTTCCCTGAGTAAACCGCCCGCCTTTATCTGTCAGCTTCAGCTTCTGCACCGCCCGCAGATTATGGAAGTGCCCGGGAGTGCTGACTTGCAGGGTCTGTCCTCTACTCTCTCCTCTGTTTAAACAGTGGTGGTGACATCTGTACCCGGCTGTAGAGCATTAGCTCGCGCGTCTGGACTGTATGTTAGAATTGGCAGTAATAGCTGTACAGCCCTATCGGTTGAAACAACTTAACACCCCCCACACCCACCTCCGCTGGGCAGGGCACTTTCTGCACATTGCAAATGATCGGGCGGTAGTGCCGTCAAAGTGCTGACCACCAAGAGAAAAAAAAAGGAAATTTAGTGTGGCTTTATCTTATCTTTCTAGATATCCCACACAACAGGGTCAGGAATTGAAGGGTTAACCATTAATGTGCACCCACAGACACAGTCAGTCACGTCCTCTCACTCGTCTTTCTTCGTGATTGGCCCTGGCTGTCTGCCATATATGCTGTGCTCTATCAAATCAATCCCCAGTCTGGCCCCCGTGCTAATAATATTCCGTACTACCCCGCTCTTCGCGAGAATCTTCACCGGACGCGTGCGGACGGAAGAAAGTGCTTTTTGTACTACCACCACCTTCCTGAAGGGTTTGTGCAGCGCCAAGGCACTTTGGGGTTAATTGCGCAACTGGAGATATGCAGACCAGACGACAACTCTACCAACACCGACCTGGCCCGCCGCAGTGGTTCTTATGCAACTTGCGCAATCGCTCCTAGGGCGCGCGCTGCCTGGGTAGATACGAGATAGATCATAGGCAAGGCTTAAATTTAACGTTAACCCTTTGCTCATGCAGTATGCGCTGTCTAGACCGGAAGCCGATCACGAAATCCCCGCATCTCCACGATCGTGGGGAAGAGCAAGAAGCAACAATTTACACAATGCCTTACTTGGTATGGCTACCTTAGCGGCATCTGGCACACCACCCGCATCTTAACCACCAAAAACACTTCTGAGTGGTTTTGCAGTCACAGAATATCACTCGGTTCTGTCTCTCAGTGATGGAGGCTGCAGCACGAATGGGCGCTTGGGGGAGTGAGTGCTTGGCCGTTGTGAGGGAGGAGTGATATTGCTGTGTGTTGCGGAGGTGTTTCTTGTGGAGGTGCTGGTGTTTTTTTTTTCTTTTTTTTTTGCCTCTACCGTAAGTTGGTGTTGACTTGTGCATGTCCCCGCGGGCTGTGGGAATGGATTGTGTGTCTGAGCGCTCGCTGAGGCTTTTGGTGAAGATAAAGTGACGACACCGACATATGGTATAGGTGTTGAAATAGGCCACGGCTTTATGAGAGACTGATGAGGATTGAATTGTATGATTGAATTGAAGAAGAAACGAGAGAAGAAGGAACAGGCTCCTTATAACATGTAACATAGTCGTGATAAACACGTATCATCAAGACAACCAAACTCGTTGTCTTGACACATTAACAGTAAGGTAACAGATGGCAAAGACTGTAAAAACAACAATAGGCACCTAATGGAATACGGTAGTTGCTGCTTTCCTTCATACCCTTTGTCCGCCTTTTCCCTGTCTAGTCTGATCATTGTCGTCAAGCAAGAATTAGGAGCGTACTTTCAACCAAGCAATATCGTCTCTACCAGCACCGCACTACAGTGAATATGGGGATATGGGGAAATAATTTGCCAACATTTCGCGTGTCTCGAAGATCGGGTGTCCAGTTTAACTCTACATGCCTATCAATGTTTGTTCTGTGGCGCGTATCGGCGCCAAACGCTTTAATCCAGCAGCTTGATATTGAAAAAGGACAGTCTTCCTAGTTGATACATACAAGTATTCACCTCCGGTGTATCAGGCCAACATATATCTCGAGATAATTCTACCAAGTCAAGTTCTTGCTGCATACTGCCGGGATGGTTCCAGCCGAATTAGATTCCCACTTTGTAGCCTTGTTCAGGTAACGCATGGATCGTGTACGAAGGAATAGCTTAAGCAGAGAGTAGATTATCTCCTCCCGCCTGTGTACAGAGAAGGCGCGAGCTGCCGATGCATTGAGCGTTGTAAGCGGCTAAATGACGAAGCGCATAAGGAACATAAACAGTTTCGATGCACACTGACCATCGGGATAGACATGGAAGAGGCTGGGAGAAGAAAACGAGGAGGAAATAAATATATAGAGGGGTTGCAGAAATCAACGGACGTGCTGAAGAAATCCACGCGGAAAGTGAGAAGTTGACAGAAGGATCGTACCTTATGCAAGAAAAACGGGCTTTACAGGCTTGTAGACCATGATTAATTACATTCTACTCTACATATGTGTGCCCTCTATTATATAGTCGGAGGATCCTCAATGGGAACTTTGATCATTGACCGCTGCTGACATGACAGACCGAACCTATGGGACACTACCGCTGCTGACCCGATGCTGTCCTTAATGAAGGGACGAATCCGCTTAATTCTCCTGACAGCTAACGCCCCAACTACTCTACAGCGCCATTTAACTGAATCTTTAACAGCACCTTGGCATGTACGAATGCGGTTAGTTGCAATTGAGGCTTGGCGGGTATCATAAGCACGTGGCACTGTGGTACCTGCGCCTCTTATGCAGGAACGTCGAATACCGCAAAAGTTGGAGCGTTGCACCCGGGTGTTAAATAAGATCCTGGTAAGTTTCTCTGAAGGATTCGCCACAGTTCGAGCAAAAATTGGTGCTTTTTACATACCAGGATCTTCTCTAACACCCGGGTGCAACGCTCCAAATCTTGCGGTAGGTATGGTGGGCGTCACGAAATCGGGGCCGGTAAAAGTACATGAACGTCAAATCTATCTCCTCAACCGCAACACAATATATTTTTGATTAGAGGCCGTAGAATGGCAGGGGGTCAAGAGAATAATCATTCTACGGCCTTTAATTTTAATTATCTTGTGTTGTGGTTGAGGAGATAAACTTTGAAGTTGGGTGAGTTTGGTAGGGAGACATGTCAATTTTTACCCATACAAATTGTTAAGGCCAGATCAAAATCCACTAAAAATACCCCTGTCCATCACCATAAAGCACTCGGTTTACTACCAAAAGGGCGTTGATCTGCCATCTGTGAGCTCAAAAACACCTAAATAGGTGATGATTTACCTGATGGAGATTTTTACATGTGCCAAGACCGACCCCGATATCGTGACGCCCACCAACCCGTCCGCAAGCGCGTAGACTAATTACTTTACTTATAACGTCCCCCAACGCCGTTTCCATCGATATATGCTTAATAGCTAGCAGTGAGAGATTGCACACTGGGTTTGTGAAAATCATAAATTTTTTAATATGGTAATCCTACTTTACCATTCGATTCGCTAGTGGCGCTTTAGTATAGAATCATAATGTATTTCGTAGGCAGTAGTATAATTGTGTTAGAGGGGCATTGTACTTAATCAAGGGGAGAGAGGGTTCCTTTCGGCTCTTCTGATCTAATCGCATATAAAAATACATGTCAAGTAATTATATCAGGAAGGAACCTCCTGGATTCTGGTACTTCACTTGAGTTGGAAGACGGGCTGGTAATCAAGGATATGAGAGATTACATAGTCTAGTCGTCACGTATCTTATAGGTCATTAGGACCACCTGTCTCTAGCTAGGTAGTCACTGTATTTATATAGATAGCCGAGAGGGCGCTTATTGGGAACACCATCATTGCCTTTACTTAATGTCCGCCTACAGTCATACCTCCCTTACCCAAAAACTCCAACCACTACTCCGCCGCCTTCCCCCCAGAATGAACCACAAAACATATAATCTTCTCTACCAAAGTGTACCCTATCCAATTTCATCCCAAGATCCGTCGTTATACCCACATCTATATAACTTGCAGTGTAGAACCCCACCTACAACATATACCCTTTGTATTCTCTGTAGCTCGACCGTAAAGAATTGTTGTAGAATACGTATGTGACCTCGAATATCCTGATAAAAATATATGTCAGCTAGATGTCCACATTCTGATTGCAAAGGTTATAAACAGGATATAATGAGCCATGTAATATACATACATAGAGAGGCCTTATCTTTCCTGTACGATTTCAATAATCGCACCATACTAGGACTATCTTTCTCTGCAGCCTTGATAGCATCCTCATCTACGCGTGCCCCTTTCTCAAGTAATTCTTTTGCTGCCGCTAGATGCCCGCCCTCGCACGCAAACACAAGTGGTCTCATAGAACCCTCTCCCCCGCTGGATCTGTCGACACCAGCGCCCGCTTCAAGTAGCCTCCTCACAACTAAATAGTGGCCCACTCTTGCCGCTATTTGCAATGGTGATTGTATTACTAACTGATTTTCCATATCGTAAGATATATCCTCATCAAACTCAGCATCATTTTTCAAGAGGTAATCCACAATGTCTAGATAGCCATTTCTAGAAGCGTCGTGGAGAGCAGATACCGGTAAAATTTTGGGACCGCCGAAGAAAGGTCCGGCGGAGCTGGTTATATGCGCTTTTTTACCCACCAGGCGCTCCACCACCGAAAGATGACCATTCAACGATGCTAATCCTAAAGCTGTAATTGTCTTGATGACGATGTTACCTTGAATGATTTTGTGTGCTGTAAAACCTGTATGATCGGCGTCGGCTCCTTGTTCTAGTAGGTAGTCCACAGCACCAAGATGACCTGCTCCAGCTGCAGCTTTCAATGCAGCGTTTAAATCCGCTATAGTACCTGCAGACTGTTCTAGCTTTTCCACGAGATACTTTAGTATATCAAGACGGCCACAACTAGCTGCCGCCATTAATGTTTGTGTGGCGTGCTGTTTGAGTTTGGCCCCCCTCTCCAACAAGCTCTCACACATTGATAGATAGCCTCCCATGGCCGCGGAATGTAATGCACTAATAGACCATTCAGTGAGGCCAATCTCATGTGTATCGATACTTCTATTAAATCTTAATAGTCGATCAACAATAGTAAGGTGATTGCCCCCCGCAGCAGCACTTATAGCGTAAGATATTTGCTGCTGGGAGAATTTTTGTTTAGACAAAATCAAGTCCACCAATGGTAAAGAACCCCTTTTTTGATGCATAACACAAAGCTTCACTCATTTTAGCTTGCGGCCAACTTCTATCTTCGAGACATAGCTTGACAATCTCATCGTGAGCGTTTGAAGCCGCGAACGTCAGCACACTCGCAGCGTTTAGGGCCTCTAAATCCTGGCCTCTGAAAAGTTTGTATATGTGCAGATGCCCTGCCTTGGATGCAGCTTGGCAAGCGCGTGTGTACGGTTCATTTTCCGGGTGGGAATAAGGGTCTATGCTCAACTCAACGCCGGTCAAGAGTTTACACAAATCTTCATGACCGATAGCGGCTGCCGCCTCTATTGCATAAATCCGATCGCCCGAAGTTGGTAACGGCCTTTCAATCGTAGCTGGTAAAGGTTTTCCACCTGCAAACTGTAACAATTGTTTCACAACCTCTAGATGCCCTCCTTCTGTTGCCGCTTGTATCGCATTTCTTCCCCCATGGTTTGCCACTCCAGACATAATCTCGTCCGGAGAGAGAGTCCTCGGCGGCCTAAGCTTTACTAATATATTTATAATCTCAAGATTACCACCCCCCGCCGCTGCCTGTAGTGCGGTTCGTCCGTAGTACTTGGAGCCAGGAGAGAAGGGGTTCTGTACACCCTCTTTCAACAAGAATTCAACCACAGCATGGTGGCCGCCTTCCGCAGCCGCCTGCAAAGCGGTTCGCCCGTAGCTTTCTGAGGGACCAGTATCAATCATCGATTTATCGTATCTAACCAATCTTTTCACAATATTGCGGTGTCCGTTTTCTGCCGCGGCTTGTAACGCAGTCCTTCCCGCGAGTCTAGCTTGTCTCTCACCGATACCGGCCCCCTTTTCCAGAAAGAGATTGACAAGTTCTATATCACCATTGGAGGCAGCAAGTTGCAAAGCTGTTCGTCCTCCCAGGCATGGCGTGTGTTGCTCTTTGCTCATACATACGTCTGCCCCTACTGCCAATAGGTATTTAACAAGGTGCTGATGCCGCTTTTCAGTCGCCGCCTGCAGTACCGTTCGCCCAAAATACCTTGCTGGTAGGTCTTTCTCGAGCTTGGCCCCTCGCTTTAAAAGGAGATCAACCAGCTTTTGGTCACCTTGTTCCGCTGACGCTTGGAGTGCTGATCTTCCGCCAAACCAAAATGGCTCAGCATCGGGGTAGGCCCCCCAATCTAATAAGGTTTCAACCACAGGAACGTGGCCACCTGCTGCTGCAGCTTGTAGGGCAGTAACCTCATGTCGTCCTGACACCGCGGTCTCGATGTCTGCCCCTTTTTCCCTCAAGTGATTTACAATCACCAGATGACCCCCTTCTGCAGCTGCCTGTAACGGTGTTCGTCTTATTATTACTTTTGATGCCGTCTGCCAGTCGCCTTCAGAAATCAGATGCGATATAGTTTTCTCATATCCCACTCCTGGGCCATACTGAAGTGCTTTATTCAACTTCAGCTCATTTGCAACCGAGTTATTGTCACTAAACTCTAGTGTTTTCAACTCAAAAGACCTGTCACGTTTCACCAAGTACTTCCATTCATCGTTATAAACGGGTCTGATGGATTTCCGATTGACGTCAGCTCCGTTCTCAAGAAGTGCGGTGACTAGATCTTGATAACCCATTCTAGCAGCAAGGATCAGAGCAACGTCGCTAAAGTAGGGCTGATCGAGAGGCGCGAGTGCTTGAATAATACTCTTAACTGTGGAGACGTGCCCTTTATAAGCAGCATTTAGGAGTGAGAGAGGCAGATGCTGAACTTGAAATCTTTTGAAGCTCTTTGGTTCGTACTGCATATGCTGATGGAGGAGTTGTCTAACTATGAACGTATGGCCATGTGATGATGCCATAATCAAACCGCTATCCACGTCTTCAGCCCCCTCATAAGTGTTCAATCCTCGGTCAATCAGGGCCTCCACTACCGAGCTATGCCCTTGGAGTAAGGCTTCCTTCAGAAAGGTTTTCAGAAGGGCCTTCCATGCAACCCTATCGCTTAGATCCGGAACAGCGCTCAAAACCTTCCTTAAAGCATCCATCTCCGATGCTTCCAGTAGCTCAATCTGATCCTGGAAGGATGAAGATATAAGCATTTTAAGATCACCTCTCACGCTAGGATGCTCCTGGATAAACTCCTCCACGCGGGCAAAGAAACATCTCCTGATATGTAACAGCTCGTCCTGCGAGTAGTTCATATCTTGAGTCAATTCCTTTAAATCGAGAGCAAGCTTGCTCCATTGACCTATCAATCGGAACCCCCGACGAAATCCAACGGCTGCGTACTGGGCTGGCATTTCGAAATCTATGTGAGATCTCCAAAGCAGATTATGGAGTTCCAAGTGCGGTATAACAACTGTGTTCATTAGCTTAAGTGCTCGATTCACTTCATACTCTGAAGCAAGTGTTATTGTCACAAATAAACTTACCTAAAAGAGCGTCCAATGTAGTCCCTAGTCCCATAATACGTATACATTCAATCACATTAGATATAGTCGAGTTATCTGGCTGTTCAGGTCTCAATCCATGCATGTGTTCTTGTCCTATTCCCCCAATTTTATCAATCAACTGTACCGCACTAGCAAAGAAATGAGAATACATTTCCATTGCCAGATTCTGTGCCATTGGTTTCTTGGTTAGTATGGCAATTATTGATTCCTCATAACCTCTGAATACATGTGAACACCCCAAAAGTCGATGAGGAGATATATGTTCGGTTTCTAGCAAGATTTTGGGGTACCCGATGCGCAACTCTGTCCCGCCTTGACCTGTCCAATACTGTATCCACTCATGTTGAACCGGGCTAAACGGACAGATGACCTTGACAATACGATCGTTCGAATTTAAGTTGTTCAATTCTGAATCGACATCATGATCATGAGATCTAGATCTCCACTGTTGTAGAAACCTGTCTTGTCTTTCTTTATCATGCAGCATCCATAGAGATAGGACATGCATGAGCTCAGTCTTTGTATCATCTTTCATTTCCCATCTCGAGAATAAATCATTTCTATGCAGCTTGAAAGTTAAAGCTCCCAAATGCTTTTCTTCTTTTATACCAATCCTTATCATCTCCTTCCATGAGAATTTCAGGAGCCTAGCTGCATTGAGCTTAAGAGAACACTCATTTGGTTCGAAAAGAATATTCATTGTCCTCTCTATAGCCTCACATAGTGAGCGGGAAAAAATGGCGCCTTGTGTTTGCCACTGAGAGAGCGCCGAGAGTCGTCCACATATCCTTAGCATCTCGCAGGAATCTTGATCATGTATCGAGCTGTTAGGCTCCGGTGTGCGTGTATGCATCCTTGCATGCTCACGGTAGGCCTCCGCCGGTGCGGAGCCACGCTCAGGGTCATGATCACCCTCCGGTACGGGGTCGCCCTCAGAGTCACCCTCCGGTTCGGGGCCGTCATCCCACGACACATCTGTCATGCCATAGGACCTTGAGACAATACTCCAATCAGAAAATCCCACCATCTGACGCCCCATACATTCAAGTTCAAACTCTTTGATTGCTGGTTCCGCATGAGGTTCACGCGTCAATCGCCTACGGATTACTGACCGGATAAATGTCATTACCAAGGTTGCTGCCAGCTGTGCAATACTTGCTGACCAAGTCATACCACGGAGGCCAATAAATTGGAAGATAAAACCAACAACACTAATTGCTGTAGCTACTAGGACGAGGTACTGCAAAGATGTTGGAGGTTTAATATCGTAACGACGTGAAGTGATGATTTTTCTTTGTCCCTCGTGTCCATGAATGATATATGGTTCGAAAACCTGATCATTCACCGTTCCTCCTTTCTGGATCCATACTATCTTACAGTCCTTATCTTCCTTTTTTTTCTTAATTTTCCAATGCTCCTCGATTGATGAGCGATCAACAATATGTGCACATATCAACATTCCTAGGTTGAGCGCAATCGTTCCAACGGCCGTGCAAGGGAAGGCTTCGGGGGAGGCGCTTATTCTATCCTTAAGAAAGATGGACTTGGATTTTAACGGTGAGTAGTATGTGATCGCTGCTTCGTATAAGAGGACTACTAGTTGGACTAGGACGCCGAGACTTGCGCAAACCCACTTCTCCATATCTGATACCGGTATTCCCCTGGCATTGAGTGAGATATTCGGTGGGATTAAAATATTGTGTGATAGAAGGGACTCATCCGGGTGAGACTGATTTTGGCCGGAGCGGTTTTCGTGAGTATAATACTCGTCCCAGTCGTTACTATAATATTCATCCCAAGAAAGATCAGGAGCCGGCGGCGATGCGTCAGGATTCCCTACGGAAGTAGTGCCGTTATTGGGGAGCCGCTGCAATTCGTAGGGAGATCCGGATTGGTTTGTTCTATGAACAAGCTCAAACAAGGGGTTTGTTTTCTCCAAGATATGTATCCCCCTATAGGGGTCATCAGCAGCAGGATTTGACTCATAAATGAACTGAAAAATCGTTGGTTCGCCAACAAGTCGCACAACAGCTTGACCATTCCACATCTCCCCGACATCCCTTGAATTGGAGGACATTAACTCTAGTTCAACTAGTCCTTGGCCTTCCTTGCTTCGCCCAATCACAGCCCTCAGCCATGGAAAGTCTGCAACTCTAATTGCGCTCACGATGGCGGTAATAATCCCTAAGGGGGCCATTGCAAAAAGAATATTGTCTGCCCAGCCCGTAGATTCACTGAGAAACTGCTTCGCAACCTGCTCACCAAAGAGCGCGAGGATAGGTGCAAGATCACTAAAGAGATTATTTGTAAACTCTCCTCCAATATCCGCACTAGCACCGGATATCATTATTGATATAACGCCAAGAATAGCCATTCGTGAGCTAACACAAATCGTGGAAGTCCGAGGTAATTTAGTTCTCTTCCACAATTTGTTCAACCCGGGAGTATATATATATCTAGATCTAGCTACGACATAATGAGACACCGGTTGTGATATGTGTGACTATAGAAACCTACCTTGGCCAAAACTATGATATGAGCTGGTTAGAAGTTTTCCTTTCCCGGCCAGGCAAGAGGCATACTGCCGCCCTCCTGTATCACTATAATCTTCATACTCCTCCCTCGTCGTTTCCGTAGTACTTTCGAGGTCTATCGACATTCAGTTCTGTACCGTTCGAGATCGAATGTATGTCTGAATGTGTTACTCTCAGAGAGTCAGTGCACTGTTATGAGCTAGCCGGCGCATATTTGGATGTGGTACGTACCTATCGAAAGCTTCTGGGTTGACAGATTTCGCTAAAGATGATGATATAGGTCTTGTACTGGTATGGGCTTGGGTATGGTGAGAGTTTGCTCTGTACTGTTGTATGTTCGACGTGATGAGGGTATACTATCGAAGGTATGGTATGTATGATGTTCCCAACTACGATTTGGTAATCTTCCTCTTGACTGGGCCAATGGCATACACACTCGCACATAGCCGCTTTTCATGCACAAGCACATAGAGTAGGTATGTACATGTATGGTTCAGTCCTAAAGGTGATATGTCAGTATTAATATGAAACTGAATTCAAATACGTACCGGAAAATTTTATTAACGACAGGACAGCTAAGAAGTACTAAGACAAATAAAATAAAAAAAAATGGAAAAAATGGAAAAAAGGTACATATGCCACCAATTGTTTTCCAGATTCTTTACTACATATTTTTGTGACCTACGTACTACCAGCGACTTCTTGTCTTGAAAATGGTTGTTTTATATTCAAAATTCCAATTATCTTCCGAGGCATTGGAGAGATACATGTATGTAGGTACCTGAGTGACCGGTACGTACTCTACTGATCTATGGGGCTCTTTGGGAACGCGTAACAATATCACTAGCTGGGTAAGTAGTTTCACGCTGAAATTTGTGGAGTATTTTGAGTTATGTAGACAAGGAGTAAACCTTATCAGGGAAAGGCGGCCCCAATGCCACCCCGTAAGTCCTATAATCCCGAATTCGCTACAAAGCCTCTCTGCACAATATTGTGCGCATGATGCATTATGCGCAGAAGTGTGCCAAGATCGATACCCTAGACTAACTTGTAGTGACGGCACTACGCTCAACCGTCCAGTCTCGGGCTAGACGGGACTGAATCGTGCAGTCTACTTACCTTGCACTAGTCCACAGTCTGCCTGCAGTCTGACTATGGATTGCATGATTGACCCTCGGGGCTGGATTGGGGCGTTACCTAAGTCGCGTCCTTGCTAGGTTGAGGCGGCCTCAACCTGGAGCTCATAGACAATATGTATCATCACAGTCAAAGAGAACTAAATTAATACCAGAATAGTTCTATATTATATTCTTTCACCTTCATGAGAATGGAAATCTATTTAATTACCATAAACATCATAATAAACAATACCACTAAACTCTTTTAGGCGATATGCAGTCCATAGTCCTTGCAATCCGTCCTCCCTTTGGACAGACTGGCTTGGCTGGAAAACCGCAGTCCACTACAGTCCATGCAGTCCGTCCTGACCGTCCACCGTCCTGGCTTGGCATAGTCGACCACAATTGACTGCAGTCAAACTGGACGATTGACGGCGTTGAGTGACGCTGATGAGTGGTTGCCCTACCAGATAGATTAGTGCTATGCCTCATTTCAAGTTAGATCTAATAGGTTTGCAGGTACATGTATGGTTGGGGACGCCTGTAACGGAGTACCGGGTGTTCACCATTAATCTGAAGAACTCTGCTTCATTGGTTGAAAATGCAGGGATTTTATAGAGAGCAACCAATTACCATCAATCACACAGGCCTTAGTGCACCAAATTTGTATGGGGGAAAAAAGTCTGAAGAACTTTCATATATCTCTACTCAAAAATCTAAATATTTCGCTAAAAATACAAAAAAATAACTGCAGAATAGCGCTGGCTCCCAGCTTCCCCTAGATAATATTTTGAGCTCATAAGCTCTTGTGGGGAGTGTTTTCTGATGAAGTTGGGTGCAAATGACAGTCAAATTGCGGTCTCGGAGATTGCATTGCAAAATATGGGGGCAGCCTATTCAAGTACTTTTTCTGGCGTCAAGTATCATTTTCTGCAGCTTCAACCAATCATACGCCAAAAAAAGGTTCTTCAGACAAACCCATAACCCCCGGTACATTGCGAAAACAGGGGTTTACTGTGACGGCAATATTATATTTCGGCTAAGGTGATAGATTGGGTTGTGAAGAGAAGGAATCGCGTAGTTGGACTATGATTTGTAATGGGTTTTCTGTTATGTTCTTTCGGTTTCCGTTACGCAAGATATTAGTCATCAATGGACTAGGAGTTGGATATATAAGGGGGTGTTGTCTCGTGCCTTTTCATGTTTTCCTTCCTTTCCTCTTCTCTTCACGGAACCTCCTGTATCTACTCGCGCCCGACCGCGCGGGTGACAGGACCCCCTCCCGTTTCGACATCCTGATTCTCGAATTGCTTCAGGCCCTGAGCGAGACGTCCCCCTATCTACCGAGTTGAAGCCTTTCAATAGGAGCCGTCCTTCTTCTCACTCCCTCCTCAAACTCGTCGGCGCCCCCGATCGCGACACCCAAACGACCAGCCCTCAAGGCTACCCCTCTCTACGTCGTATCGGCACCCTGTCAATAGTCTGGAGGTCAGCGCAGACTCATTGCCAAAGCCTACGATAACCCACGGTGTTAGCGACCTTACGGTCGCGAAACATTCGTTCCTTACCTTACGCGAGGTCCCTTCGTTGGGCCTTACCCCGCTTTACGGCCCTAGCCAGGCAACCCATTTTAACCGAGTCGGCTTCCCCGCTCACCCAACCCTACCGGCCCGGTACCACAACCGAGGCCACCCATCAAGACACGGTCGGCACCCACGATTGCGACCACCCCATACACTACGGAAATCGAGTTCGAAGGTCACCACTGAAAAGACCACCAACAGGTAGCGGCTCACGCTCACCCCATCTACACTTGGCCTCTGTGCCATTCCTACCTTAACCCCCTGCTGCCTGACGAGCAGACTCCCAGGGACCCCATCGACACCCCCCTCCCTATGCTTTCGCACCTGATGCTTCGGCGGTCTCTCGCCTCGCCTTCGTGCAGTACTTCCTATATGGCTTTGGTAATGATCCTGGTTTATGGTGAACGGGTATATAGACGATTGACTTTATGTTGTTTGACGGAGAAGCTCTTGGGATTTCATTTCTACTGTAGCGTTGTTACTTTGTTCGTCGCTTAGTTTCTGTTCAGCTACACCATGTCGCGCGATGTTTGTACGTACTTTTCCTTTGTCTTTGGCGGTAGTGTAGGCGTGCGATAAGCCTTTGGCTTCTAAGCAATATAAAATCCAATCCAATCCTGTATCTACCCCAACGAATACTACTTTTGTTCTACGCCTCGTCATAGGGTTCAACTAGTTGTCATACTAGATAGAGCAACTCCATAGCCCATAGTCCTGAATACCTATTGTCACGTCCTCGCCTCGGTTGTATTCCTTGGCACTATAGTCCCTACGTCCATAGACCACCGTTACACCAGGTTCCGTCCTTTATCGCCAACCAATACAACACTATAGCCTACAATGTCGGAACACGTTCCTATCGATTACCAACAACTAAGCGACACCCTTCAAACCTTCTTCCAAGAACATCCACAGGTCGATAACACTGTCGGGATAGAAGCTTACGCACATCTTCAAAGGGCCCAACATGGTCTTGCTCAGTATGCAACGGACTTACAAGAGGTGGAGAGGGAGGCTGGAAATGCAAGGGAGATGTTCGAACGAGACCTTGCTGCTGCTCAAACCCAGCGGGTCGCTGTCGAAGTAGTTGCCCCTGATGAAGAACCGATTGGTGGTGATGATGCCCCACCCGCGCCGCCAATACCACCCGTTGTGGCTACTACTCAGCGGTCGGAAAAGCTTCCAGACCCCGAGGTGTTTAGGGGAGATCGCGATCGAGAAAGATTACACCTATTCAAACAACAGATGAGGATTAAACTATTGGGAAATGCCGACCGCTTTCCCACACTACAGTCCAAGTTATCCTACGCATTCAGTCGACTGGAGGGTATTGCCGCTAATCAGTTCTTACAATATGTCGGAGAAGAAGGCATCGCTTTGCCTTCCATGTTGCGGTTTTATGAAATCTCAGATACTGCGTTCGGGGACCCTGATCGAATGCGCACAGCTAGAAGGAATCTTAGGAACATCCGCCAGCGAAATCGAACCTTTGCTGACTATTTCGCCGAATTTCAACGGTACGCTGCTGAATCAGGAATGGATGAAGTCTCTCGGATTGAGGCTTTGATGGAGGGCATTAATGCGGAACTCGATGAATCGATGATACACCATGAAACTCCTGCGACAGTAGATGCCTGCGCGACACTTTTGCAACGGTTAGATAATCGACGACGAGCGGCAGAGGCTAAGCGAGGAAGTAAAAAGCCTTGGAGTGCTACTACTGCTCCGACCCCTCGTCCCCCACCAGCGAATCCTGTGCCTACCCCTCGCGCTGCCGCCCCAGCTGTCAACATCACCAAGCTCGCCTATTACCCAGGGCGCAGCCTCTACGTCCTGGCGGGCATTCTGCGCCACGAGCGCCCAGCGCGTCCGGCACCGCCAGAGTACAACCTTCGCGCCAGGCTCCGCCGCAGGACCGTCCCACTCTCTGGGACCGCCAGGAGATATGGCTCACGTCCGGAGGGCACTCGCTAATGCTCTGGTCGCCTGGGCCGCCATGAGATTCCCTCCGCCTCCGGAGACGCTAGGATGGAGTGACTCCGCCCACAGCACCTAGGAACTTTTGCTTCTTTTGATTACATCAGTAGTACACGCGAGCACTTCCCAATGCTCTCACAGTTTTCTTGAATGCTCTCACGGCACGACGAATGCTCTCACGGCACGGCGAATGCTCTCACGGCACCGCGAATGTTCTCACGGCACCGCGAATGCTCCCGCGAATGCTCCCGCGAACGCTCCCGCGAACGCTCCCGCGAACGCTCCGCGAGGGCTTCCGCGAGTGCTCCCAGAGCACTCACCAGTGCTCACAGAGCTGAGGCATTCGTCATACCCACTCAAGGTGAGGCAACCCTCACTTGGGCTCCTTTGGATTGATACACCGTCCTCAAAGGATAGGAAGGCCGCACCAGTCCCTCAAAAGATATCTAACGTGGGTATCCTCAACGCCGCTGTACGGTCAGTCGCGGGATACTGATACGAGCACTGTCCTGTATACTGGTGACGACTACCCAACCTTTGACGGACGTGTATGTTTCTGTCGATTCGTGAAAGGCATAATTAGCCTTGAGGTTGAGGCCATGGTACGGCTCGTCTGAAAAGCTCAATGTCCATGCATAAGCAGCAAACATGGACTGGCATTGATCTCCTGGAGCGAGCTTGCTGGATAGCCAGACTCAGATACTGAGCGGCCGAAACTTTACCTCCTTCTTCCAATCCGCATGCATAGCAGAACGACACGAATTTTGAATTAGAGAGTCCAATTGGGTCTAACGTTCCTAGAGCACTCAAGAATGCCCTCACGGCTTTACAAGTATTCAACTAAATTCATTCCACGTACGCAAGTCTATCCTAGTATTTACCAACCAATTACCAGTCTCCACCTCAAACAAATGAGCCATTCCCAATATACTCCGAATATTAACGACCCACATCCTCTTCCTCCTCCTCCTACAAACCTTCAGGAGCCCATGTGAGCTATCAGCGATACCACGATCCTTTGCCTCGAGTAGCTCCACTATACATAGTCTATGTGCTCGCCCCCCACTGTCCCGCAGCTTGAACAAAGCGTCGACACGTCCTGGTAAGCGTCCCCGAAACACTCCCCACTCCTCTGAGGACGCTACCGACACCCATACCCAATCCTTTCTTATTTTCCCTTTCCTAAAAGCCGCGTTTCCCGTACACCTGATATTGTGAACCTCGTACACCTCAGGTCTTTGGAAGATTGGTATCGGAACCTGCAAACATGTGAACATCTCCACCCGGCGCTCTAAAATGCTCTCAGAGCTTCCGGCAAAGCTTTGAGAGCATCCCGCATCCTCTGCATACTCCTTTATCAGGCGATATAACGTGGTATGGCTTATTTGCAGTCCATCCGCAATATTGAAAAGTCTTTCCGATTTCGTGGAGGGGTTGCAAAGACGCCTTAGAGGCAGTCGGCCTTCTACTATGGATCGTTCATTTGGTGTTTTTTTCCGGTCTTCGATTTTAAAAATCTCAAGTAACTCCTTCAGGTTATCTCGATGGCTCCAAAGGATGTCGTCAGTGCTCTCAGGACCTCCAACAATGTCTTTCAGATTCAGCATTCGAATCTCTAACGCCAACCGCCGCCCCCCATAGTCCAGTATCTGCGTTGCAGCATCGACCTTGTTGGATGCTCCGTATGCCTCTTTTATCTGACGTACATGGGCGAGTTCGCTGATGTCGGTGGAGTACTGGGGAATGCTCCCAAAGTGCTCGACATGTTCCCGATAGTGCGTTAACACGTGCAATTTGATGAAGTTGAAGTGAGACCTTTCCCGTATCTCGCGAATCTCCTCCAAACCTCGCTGAGCGCTCTGGGGCCTGAGGTCTTCACAGCTTTTGTCCGATCTCTCGCATCCTTAACCGTCCTCTTGTACGCCCGGAATTCTAAAAAGATATCCTTGTGCTTATGGAAATCCTCGAGATAGCTCTCCATATAATTCAGTGTACTCGTCGTATGACTCCCATACTGCGCCATTAAGTGGAAGTCGATTAAGCCTCGTACACATTTCAATGCCTTTGCGAAGTCGCCCCTGACAGCCACCCCCGGGTTTCTCAAAGCAGCCGCGAGTGCTCCAAGAACGACCCGCCCCAGATTTCTCATCTCCTTCCCTTGCCATTGGGTTGTGGCACGATATGCCTTGTTCGGTACTGCCAGTCCAGGGTAAGGCGCAATCGAGGGCCAAGCCTTGTCAAATTCCTCCAATCGATTGTGCTTCTTCAAGAAAGCCTGAACCCACTCCATCATGTGCTTCAACATCCCTAGGTAGATATTGTGCAGAATGTCCGGTTTGTTGAGATCGTATGGATTAACCCTCGGCATACCCCAGAAAGCATTGAAGAGTGTCTTTACTGATCTCGCGACAAGGTATTCCACCGGTCCCAGGTTTCCCGGGTTCTCCCTGAATAGCTTTACCCTCTCCCGGTAATCCTCGTGATCGTGCATAGGGCTCCGGCGAGTGCTCCCAAGACTGTGGAATTCCACCTCGCATCTTGGACAAGAGCTAGTACTAATATTTTGTAAGTTTGAATGCTCAGGTTGATCAGCGATCCAACCCGACAACACCGGAAAGCATAGACGTTCGTACCCGTCGGCGCATGCGATTAGCTCGCCTTCCTGAGAGCACTCCCGAATGCTCTGAAAGATCTCCCCAAGGGCGCGATGCAGCGCCATTTGACTCTGACGTCGTAAAGCGGAATTAGCGAGTGAGTTTTTCCCGAGCTTAGGTGGGACTGGCAGTAGCCCTATGAGAATTAACGAATGCCCGGTGGCTTGCTCCGGACCGATGACTTGATGTTCCCGATGGTAAGATAGATTGGCCAGGCTTTCTTGTCCCCACTAAAATTTGTCAAATGTGTGCCATCTGACGCGCATATAATTGGTACCACAGTCGACCCCTCCGGTAAGGTATTCTGTCCAGAAAGCATTAGCGACTGCCTCTAGAGCACTTGTGAGTTTACCAGACCTGCGTCTCCCACCACCAATCTCCCGTATGCATTTCCCCGTACATTCTCTCGCCAGATTCATTATGCTCTACCACTGGCGCGTACACAATGACTCCGAAAGGCCCGTTGGC